AGAAAGACTGGCAAGTTCAAAATGCCAATAACTCTGATTTAATAATTACATTTCACCCACAGGTATTAGAGTGCTACTATCTACCACAAACACGTTCCATTACACCTTAATTGAAATAATTTTTTTTTTTTTGGTTTTTCGAGACAAGGTTTCTCTGTGTAGCTTTGTGCCTTTCCTGAGACTCACTTGGTAGCCTAGGCTGGCCTCTGCCTTCTTCCCATCAAAGCTTTCACATCTAGGTAAGACTGTGATGATTATTTTCCCCACAGGAGCCTGCATAGCACCTTTCAATATTCTGGTAACAATTCGACAGTTACTCTAAGCTACATAGTCAGTCCTGACTTGAGTTCTCTGTGTTCTGTGACAAATGCATGAGGTGTCTTCAGCCATAGGGTCTTACTATCAAGTTCTAGTGGGCAACCCAGAGCAGTGGCAAGAGGCTGTATTGTTTTGAGGATCTCTGGGACACCTCTGTTCAATGAATCAAGAGGAGACATCCTACTCCTGCCACTGAGCTTTTTATTTGACAACCTAAGGCTTTCAAGACATGCATAGTCAGAAATGCCATGAGCACAATAGTGACAAATGTTATGGAGATATTGAACTGGTTTTTGATTGGGTTTAAGGTTGGATCCACAGGGGGAAAAACATGCCTGATACTGCAAATCTAACCAATAATTCATAGTTGTGAAATCTTCAGGAACCAGTTATGAACTGACTACAATATTTTGCTAATTGCCCATAGTATCAAATTTCTCTCTGAATGTGCACCTCTCTGCTTTCAGACCTCATCAAAGAGTTTCTTTGCATGGTGGATATGGTTAACACAGAAACTCAGCTGTTCAAATTCAGAGACATGATCCTAGAGTACTCAGCCATACTGGGACATCTTTATCACACTTCCTCCCCCAAACTCTGGGATCATTGTGGAAGAGGTAGTAGAAAGATTATAAGAGGACTAGGGCAAAACCATTTATTCTGGATATGAAAGGACTGCTGCACTCATAAAATCACAGCAGCTGCTGCTGCATGCATAAGAACAAACTGGTCAACATTTCAGCATAGAGAGATGGAGGTGCTCATGAGGCCACACCCATTGCTACAGAACTGTTGAGTCTGTTTTCATTAAGAATAATGTTCCAATTTGCTTCATCACACCTATGTCTGAAAGTGTGGGGAAGGCACAGGCAGGCAACTATTTCACAGGTGTTGAACATTTGTTTGTGTATTGTATTTAAGTAAATAAAGAACTATTAAAATTTCAGGTAAAATTTAAAACAAAAAAAAAAAAAAGAAGAGTGTTCCTGGTAGGTTCACCATGTTCCCGTGGAAGGTCCCACACATAGAAATATATGGACAGCAGAAATCAGAGTTGATGGGTTATTGAGGTAACACTAAAAAAAGTAAGCAAACAAATAAACAAAAACAAAAATGTAGCAAATCTGGAGAGTTTTATGGCTTAGACTATGTTAGGCTATGTTCAACGTTCAAAGACAGGTAGCCCAAAATTTGTATAACTTCTAATCCAATAGATAAAATCAAGAATTGATTTTCTGCAACTCATATTACCTACACAGGTAAGTGATCAAATATTCTTCATATAAATAAATCATTTAGATATTCAAATTTAAATTTTAATGATTTGGATTATCTTTTGTTCTTCTTCTCTTAATTTTATAAAAATAAGATTTCTTGTCAGCATGTTTAAAACAGTTTCAGTTTACACAAAGCTTCAAAACCTCATCTGACTGTATTCATTTTGTACACATTTTGTCAAGTACTTGTATTAAGGATGTCTAAATAATTTTGAACAAAATACAGTCAAACTTTACAAGATAAGTTTATAATCAAGTTCAATGTCTTATAGGACATCTATTTAAATTTATAAATAATATATTCAGTAGATTAAATATTTAAAAATGCATTTGATGATGATAAGCAATTAGAATAATGAAGTAATTAATGTCTGGAGTATTGCTTTATTCAATATTATGAGTGTCACATTTTGTTTCAAATTACTGTATACTATAAATAATTATATATATATGTATATATATATATATCACATATACATGCTTTTTTGAGGATTTGTGTAAACTAAAACTGTTCAAAACATAGCTAACAAATAAGCTTGTTTTTATAACATATTGTGGTGGTTTGACAGAAAATGGTCCCCAAACACAGTGGTACTAATCAGAGGTTTGGCCTTTTTGGAATAGGTGTGACCTTGTTGAAGGAAGTGAGTCACTGTGGGCATGAGCTTTGAGCTCTCTTATGTCCAAGCTACACCCAATGAGATGGACAGCTTCCTGTTGCTAGGGAAAAAGTACAGAACTCACAGCTACCTACATCTTCAGCACTGTGTCACCTGTACACTGCCGTGTCTTACAACAATGATAATGGACTGCACCGCTGAACTATACGTCATCCAATTAAATGTTTTCCTCTATAATATTTGCCTTGGCTACAGTGTCTCTTCACAGCAATAGAAACCCCAACTAAGACAGGAATTGGCACCAGGGACTGGGGTATTGCTGTGATAGGCCTGAGCATGCTTTTGTTTTAGACAATAGAGACTTTGTTAGGGTAATATTTTAAGTGATGCCTAATGGGTCATACTAGTAGAAACATGGAAGACAGTGGTGCTGAGATTACTTGAACTGTGGGGGATTGCTCAAGATGTTTCAGAGGAAAAAAATTTAGTACGTTGCCTAGAAATAATTCTTGTCATAGTTTGTTGAAGAATGTAGAGCTTTTGCACCATGTCTGGAGAGTCAATCTGAGGCTAAAGTGAAGTGTTTTTGGTCTTGTTTTGGTCCAGTGTTTCCTCACTATGGTCCCTTCCCTATGTTTTGGAATGGTAATGTATATCCTGTGCCATTATATGTTAGAAGTATGTGATCTGCTTTACGATTTTGATTTTATAGGGGATTGGAGTAGGTATGGCCCTGTGGGAAGAAGTGTGTCTACTGTGGGGGTGGGCTTGGAGGTCTCCTTTACTCAAGCTATGCTCAGTGTGGTACACTGTTCACTTTGTTTTGTCTGTAGATAAAGATATAGAATTCTCATCATATACATATATATATATATATATTCTATATATATATGTTGTCATTCAACTGCACATATGGTCTTCCTAATTAAATATAAATATACAAAGCAAAACCTTAGGGAGAAATAGAAAATTATTTGACTTTGGGGTACAGAGACAAATTATCAAACAAAAAAGAAAAATATTACCAACAAATGTAAATAAAGTAGGCCCAATAGAAATGAAAAGTTAAAGCCTAGACAGCAGAAAGATATTAACAAAAGTATGATGGATAAAATTAGAGTAAAATTGTCATGTAACAACATTGACTTCCATCATGTAAAACCTACACACACACACACACACACACACACACACACACTCACACACTCACACAGATATACATTTTTGTTTAGAAGAATATATATATATATATATATACTCTCCATATATATATATATATATATATATATATATATATGGAGAGTATTAGTTTATTTACATATAGGAATTACAGAAGAATAAATATTAATGCTAATTAAGTCTGTGAAAAGATGTCAAATTAAATAATGGTGAAAGAAGTTGTTTTTAATATTCCTAAAACACTTAAAATATGAAGGACTGTAGGAATGAATAATAAGATTTCTCACATGTAGAAAATGTGAAATGATGAAAATCTTGGAAAAACATGTGGAGGTTTAAATATTTCCTACACAATTATAAAGTATTTCTTCTATTCAGTATATACTTTACAACCCAGGCTTTAATCTGTGAGTGTTCATATATGGTCCATGTAACTAAATGTGGGCATCATGAAAGAACTGATAACTCTAAGTTTTTAAGAGCACAGTAATGAAAATCTTACTGCAAACCAAACATGCAATGAGTCCCCAATGTTTCCTGTGTTGCATCTGGTCACTTCATTGTGATCTTGTTTCAAAATGTATAGCTTTGGAGTTCAATGTTTCCTGCTCTCATAGAAGCACAATGATTTATTAATGAAAAAAGTGAGTTTTAAAAGTATATTTATTTATTTTGATTTTCTGTGTTTTGCCTGCATGTATGTATGCACCTGTCTGGTGCTAATATTGGTATCCATGAAACTGTAGTTTTAGATGTTCTGTGAGCTACCATGTGAGTACTAGGAATCAAATCTGGGTTTTCCAAATGAACAACAATTACTTTTAACCACTGAGCCATCTTTCCAGGCATGGAAAACAATGACATTTTGATATTTTTATTATTATTCTTTAACATAGAAATATAAAATTATTTTTATATGTCTTCAAAGTATAAAATGTTAGAATGATTGATTTTTAAAAATTGTTATTTGACTTAACTTTCATTTTAAAAAAAATCACTAAATTAATTTTGGCCTGAGAGTAAGAGAAATTCTAACAACTTTTGAGAGGACCATAAACATGTTCTTTTCATTTTGTACTATGTATTTAATGTGAAACCACATAGTCAGCATCAACTATAATAAAATAAAAATATTGACCAACTCCAAAAACCACTAAAAGTTCTTTAGATCTTATAACATCAAACTTTTACCCATGAAAATTCATATGAAATAAATAAATATATCCAACCATTAGTGTGCAAATTTTCTGTTATCTTTGCTAGGTGGAGAATCATATGCATTCTAAACAAAATAGTACTCTAAATAAGTTTCTTTACCATTTATTTTTATAAAATATTGGGATGTGTATCCATCTTGGGTGAAAGCATATAAGTGCATAATGCTGAAGGAGCTCTTTGCGAGGAATCATTTTTCTGAGTGTAAAGAAACAAGTATAAAAACATTCACTGTATACACACTTGAAATGGATAAAAACTAGAAACAAGCTAAATCATATCCTTTCATGGTTATGATAAACTGTGTATTTATATAACATGTTCCACACAGCTGTATGAGTTATTAAATTTGATTCATGTATATCAGTTCTAGGTTGATTATTTTGTATTTAACAATATTGAACGCTTCATGAATTTGTGCATCATCCTTTCACAGGGGCCATGCTAATTGTCTCTGTGTTGTTCCAATTTTAGTACATATTCTGCCAAAGCAAGCACACTTACTGAGTTTGTAGCACTTATGTTCACTCATGCTACTAAACATAACCTAGTTTTTACATCTTAACTGCTATTAAATTCCCATAAATATGTAACTTGAGTTTTCTGTTCAATTTTTTTATATATGGTATGTAAATCATGATGTATTCTGTAAAATTTTAAATCACATCAGTCAGTTTTCTACTTAGTTAATGGTGAAAACCAATTCAGTAACCATAGAGATAAATCATAAATATTCCATTTCAGGGTTTTGATGGAAATTGGAAAAATTGGGTGGAGTAATGGAATAGGAAAGGGCTACAGAATTAATTGCATCTTTAAGGTTTTATTTCTGTGTGTGCCTCTGTGTATGTGTGTGTGTGTGTGTATGCTCATGTGTTTGTGACAATATGTGTGTAAATGGGTGTGTCTCCACATGTATGTAAATGCATGTGAAAACAAGAGGACAATTACTGGTGCTGCTTCTCAGGCACTAACCACCCCAGTATTGGAGACATGGTCTCCCAATGACCTGGAAATCACCAAGTAAGCTGCTCTGATTGGCCAGTGTTTGAAGAAAATAATCTGTTCAATCTTGGTGATTGGGTAAGGAAACAATTCTGTGCTTGTTTAATTACAACGATAAGTCATGCTCCTGAAACATCTCAGGCTCATTTGTGTATTTCCTTAAGCAAAGACTTATTCTACATTAGTTGAACAAGAACAGTCACCTCACACCCTTGAGATGATACTTCACTTTCCTTCACCTGGATACAATACATACACCTGCATGTCTGTAAAGGGGATCCTGCTAAATTTCTTATTATTCTGATTCACAGTTTAGGCAAGTTCATGATTCTGTATGTACTGGTATACCATGAATTGGTGGAACAAAGCAGTTCAGATTTTTCAGCCAGAAAATATAGAGAGGTATAGGAGGGTGGTATGGTGTACAGCGTGGCATCAGAACTCCTTGATCTAGCATAACAGAAGTCTCATAGCCATTGAAAACTAGTTCTTCAATGGTTACCTCCTAAGCTCCTGAAAACCAGAAATGAATTCTCTGCTCTTATGAATGTGAATGTCATAGATACATCATAAAAATGGAATTCTCCATTTTTATTTAACTCCAGATTTTTTTTTAAATTTATTTTGCAATACAATTCAGTTCTACATATCAGCCACGGATTCCCTTGTTCTCCCCCCTCCCGTCCCCCTCACCTTCCCCCCAACCCCCCCCCATTCCCATCTCCTCCAGGGCAAAGCCTTCCCCACAGACTGAGGTCAACCTGGTAGACTCAGTCCAGGTAGGTCTAGTCCCCTCCTCCCAGGCCGAGCCAAACAATCCTGCATAGGCCCCAGGTTTCAAACAGCCAACTCATGCAATGAGCACAAGATCTGGTCCCACTGCCTGGATGCCTCCCAAACAGATCAAGCCAATCAACTGTCTCACCCATTCAGAGGGCCTGATCCAGTGGGGACCCCTCAGCCATTGGTTCATAGTTCATGTGTTTCCATTCATTTGGCTATTTGTCCCTGTGCTTTATCCAACCTTGGTCTCAACAATTCTCGCTCATATAAACCCTCCTCATTCTCGCTAATTGGACTCCCAGAGATCCACCCGGGGCCTAGTCATGGATCTCTGCATCCAGATCCCTCAGTAGTTGGATGAGGTTTCTAGCACAACAATTAGGGTGTTTGGCCATCCCATCACCAGAGTAGGTCAGTTCGGGCTGTCTCTCGACCATTGCCAGCAGTCTGTTGTGTGGGTATCTTTGTGGATTTCTGTGGGCCTCTCTAGCACTTTGCTTCTTCCTATTCTCATGTGGTCTTCATTTACCATGGTCTCCTATTCCTTGTTCTCCCTCTCTGTTGTTGATCCAGCTGGGATCTCCCGCTCCCCCAAGCTCTCTTTCCCTCAACCCTCGCCTTTCATTACCCCCACTCATGTCCAGGCTGTTCATGTAGATCTCATTCCATTTCTCTGTCATTGGGCGATCCCTGTGTCTTTCTTGGGGTCCTGTTTTCCAGGTAGCCTCCCTGGTGATGTGAGTAGCAGACAAGTCATCCTTGTTTCATGTCTAGTATCCTGCTATGAGTGAGTACATACCATGTTTGTCTTTCTGAGTCTGGGTTACCTCACTCAGGATGATTTTTTCTAGATCCATCCATTTGTCTGCAAACCTCATGATGCCATTGTTTTTCTCTGCTGAGTAGTATTCCATTGTGTATATGTACCACATTTTGTTTATCCATTCTTCAGTTGAAGGGCATCTGGGTTATTACAAACAATGCTGATATGAACATAGCTGAACAAGTGCTCTTATGGTGTGGTTGAGCATTTCTTGGGTATATGCCCAAGAGTGGTATAGCTGGATCTTGGGGGAGATTGATTCCCAATTTTCTAAGAAAGCGCCATATTGATTTCCAAAGTGGTTGTACAAGCTTGCATTCCCACCAGCAGTGGAGGAGAGTTCCCCTAGCTCCACATCCTCTCCAGCATAAGGTGTCTTCAGTATTTTTGATCTTAGCCATTCTGACAGGCGTAAGGTGGTATCTCAGAGTTGTTTTGATTTGCATTTCCCTGATGATTAGGGATGTTGAGCAGTTCCTTAAATGTCTTTCGGCCATTTGAGTTTCCTCTGTTGCGAATTCTCTGTTTAGTTCTATAGCCCATTTCTTAATTGGACTGTTGGGCATTTTGATGTCTAATTTCTTGAATTCCTTATATATTCTGGATATCAGTCCTCTGTCAGATGTGGGGTTGGTGAAGATCTTTTCCCATTCTGTAGGCTGTCGCTTTGCCTTGTTGACCGTATCCTTTGCTCTACAAAAGCTTCTCAGTTTCAAGAGGTCCCATTGACTGATTGTTTCTCTCAGAGTCTGTGCTACTGGTGTTCTATTTAGGAAGTGATCTCCTATGCCAATGCGTTCAAGACTACTTCCTACTTTCTCTTCTAGCAGGTTCAGAGTAGCTGGATTTATGTTGAGGTCCTTGATCCACTTGGACTTAAGTTTTGTGCACGGTGATAGATATGGATCTATTTGCAGCCTTCTACATGTTGATATCCACTTTTGCCAGCACCATTTGTTGAAGATGCTTTCTTTTTTCCATTGTGCGCTTTTGGCTTCTTTGTCAAAAATTATATGTTCATAGGTGTGCGGATTAATGTCAGGGTCTTCAATTCGATTCCATTGGTCCACATGTCGGTTTTTATGCCAGTACCAAGCTGTTTTTATTACTGTAGCTCTATAGTAGAGCTTGAAGTCAGGGATCGTGATGCCTCCAGAAGTTGTGTTATTGTACAGGATTCCTTTGGCTATCCTGGTTTTTTTGTTTTTCCATATGAAGTTGAGTATTATTTTTTCCAGGTCTGTGAAGAATTGTGTTGGTATTTTGATGGGGATTGCATTGAATCTGTAGATTGCTTTTGGTAAGATTGCCATTTTTACTATGTTAGTCCTGCCTATCCATGAGCATGGGAGATCTTTCCATTTTCTGACATCTTCTTCAATTTCTTTTTTCAGGGACTTAAAGTTCTTGTCATATAGGTCCTTCACTTGCTTGGTTAGTGTTACCCCAAGGTATTTTATGTCATTTGTGGCTATAGTAAAGGGTGATGTATCTCTGATTTCCTTCTCCGCTTCTTTGTCCATTGTATATAGGAGGGCTACTGATTTTTTTGAGTTGATCTTGTATCCTGCTATGTTGCTGAAGGTGTTTATAAGCTGTATCAGTTCCTTGGTGGAATCTTTGGGGTCACTCAAGTATACTATCATGTCATCTGCAAATAGGGAAAGCTTGACTTCTTCCTTTCCAATTTGTATCCCCTTAATCTCCTTATGTTGTCTTATTGCTCTGGCTAGAACTTCAAGTACTATATTGAATAAGTATGGGGAGAGTGGACAGCCTTGCCTCGTTCCTGATTTTAGTGGAATTGCTTTGTTAACTCCAGATTTTTAATACCTTTTATAATAGATGCTCCAAGTAGATCTTAGCACCAAGTAGCTTCTCAAGCCTCTTCTATTGTCATCATTTTAGTTTACCTTTATCTGTGACTTCCTAGAAACTGTTGGAACAACTGGAGTCAGGACTACTTATTGGCCTCTTCTCACATTGCTAATGCCAATTACTAATTATTTATCCAATTTTATTTTAATACTATTTCATAATTATAACTTTAAATAATTTATGCAAACTAAATACATCCTCTATGACTGTATATTAGTCATAGCCAAACTATTTTTTTGTTTCTGTAACTATAGGCATTTAAAGTTATTGAATGAATAAGTTGGTGTAATTTCTAAATGTGTTCTTTTAACAATATCATGTTAGTAGGTATTTAATGACATTAGTGATAAGTGTTATCATATCAATGTATCACAATATAAATAACACAAATTATATGCATAGGTCTGTGATATATTTATACTCTGAGTTGTACATTCATGAGAACTTATAATTCAACTCCACTTGTTCAATGTATTGTAAAAAGATCTGATATACTCAAAATACTCCTATTTTTCTATTTGTGAGACTAAAAGTAGAAGGAATGTAATTTTCATTCACTAAATAATTTCACTTACAAACATTAGATATGTATCTTTTGCTAAGTAAAATGTTAGCACCTTAGCATGCATCTGCAGGCATCATAGGTGAAGAGTGAACTAGGAAAGAAAAAGCATATATTTTGAGTGGTCAGATAGAAGTTACTAATAAGCTAATGCATGAATGATACAAAAAGCTATAAAAAGAAAAATTCTCTGACATAAGGAAAATCATAGTGACTACAAAATAAAGAGTAGCACCTGGAAGAATCATGATGAATGCAGGTGAAGAATGGAGGGAGAGCTGGATCATATATGTCCCTTTAGATCAAGATAATAATACTGATATTCTTTTACAAGTGAAAAAAATGTCACCCAAGAATTTTACACAGGTAATAATACTGAGATACACTGGGGGAAAAAAAGGCAAAGTGATGCTGTGGGATAATGCTCTTGTACACTGTAAAGATTTG